CCTCCCTCACCACCCTCAGCTTCACCCCCCCACCACCCTCAGCATCACCCCCTCAAGAACCTCAGCATTACCCCCCTCACCACCCCTCACCATCACTCACCACCATCAACCTCCCTCACCCTCAACATCAACCTCCCTCACCATCATCACCCCTTTCACATCACCCTTCCTCACACACTCATCAAGCCTCTCCCTCACCCACTCACCCCTCCCACCATCACCCGCCTCCCCTCTCACCATCACCCCTAACACCAACACCCTCCCTCCCTCACCATCAACCCCTATACCCCATACACATAGGGTCCCAGACAAAAACGCAAACATGCTCACAGAGACATACATTCACACACAAGGATACTCTTTGTCAGACACACTCTCAGGCACACACACAGGTAAACTGTGCATCAATGTGTATATGTGACACTTTTTTGTAAGTGGGGCCTCATGTTTGAGTTTCGCCTAAGGCCTCATAAAGTCTAGAGCCGCCTCTGCTTACTGCTACACATACAGTGTCCACACACACTACTACACACACTGCTGCATGTTGTGTTACTAATCAGTCAAAAATTAAACACAAATAAAAATGGGGAGGAAGGTAATGGAATCACCAATTCGGGATTATTCTAGCTTTAGCGACTGAATAATCTAAATTTTATTAAAGACAGGAGGCGAATATTTGCTTTACCTTCTTTACTGAACCTCCCAGCAGCAAAGAAACAGTTAACATAAGTGAGAAAAAAATCAACCAATCAGGACACATATTAGAACATAACAGTCTTTCAGGCTCCTCCCAAATCCTCTTTCTGATGCAGCCGATCATAAGTGTAGTCAACCGTGTAAACTGGAGTAAGTCATCAACCATGTAAACCGGAAAAAACGCAGTCGAGATTAGAGACCAAGGGAACGTAGTCTTCGTGGTTCATGTAGAGAAACTTCACACTAAAAAACAGAGAAAGATCGTGAAAGTATGGGTACTTGGACTGGGTGTCCGCAAGATATCTATATACACAGATCCACCCCCTGGATATTATGAGTATAACTATTGCAAATTTCTAAAATAGTCAGAAAAACCAGGCAGATGAATAAGCACCTAACCAGAATAAATGGGAACAAAACAGTTAGGCATATATAAGTCTATACAAGGAAAACTTGAAAAATTTTATGGATACATGCGACTTGATAAAAGAAAAAACTGGGATGGGAGATAAATAGGGTGGGAAAATATTCGCCTCCTGTCTTTAATAAAATTTAGATTATTCAGTCGCTAAAGCTAGAATAATCCCGAATTTTATGGCAAGACAGGAGGCTTCATATTTGCTGTTTTAAAGCGTGGAAACCAAAGAGTAGGAAGCATGGGACGATTGTCGAAAATAGAAGGTACGGAAGGTAGACTCTCGAGACCAGTCAGCGCATTTTAGGATGTCTGCGAGGGATCCCCCGGCCATAAAGGCGGAGGATGCAGCCGCACCTCTGACAGAATGAGCTCCAAAAGAGGAGTCTATCCCCGCTAAACCTAGAAGCCATTTAATCCAGCGGGCAATCGTGGGACAAGACACTGGTTTGTGTGGTCGCACATACGAGATAAACAGGGGGCCCGTAGGGGTACGTAGAGGTGATGTAGAGACGACGTACTGTTGAACACAGCGAGCAACGCAGAGCGACGGTCTGTCAGAAAAATAAGGGTAAGTAATTGTTAAAGAATTAGTTTTAGTTCGGCGAGAAATGTTAAAACGTACACCCTGGGGCGTGAAATCAATAGTATGAAAGTCAAATGCCTGAATATCAGACACTCTCCTAAAAGAAACCAAGCAGAGAAGAAGAGCTAATTTGGCCGACAGTTGTCGTAAAGGGAGCGCTTCATTGGGTGGCTAAGTCTCCAGGAAGGACAAAACAAGAGCAACATCCCAAAAATGTGAATATTTTGGGGCAGGAGGTCGAGCAAGACGAATGCCACGCAACAGTCTACAGATGGAGGGGTGTTTACCTATCGCTGTATTATCAACGGGGCCAAGAGCTGCCGAGATTGCTGAACGAAAGACGTTAATGGATCTGTAGGATTTACCCTGATCAAAAAGAGAGGACAGAAAGTTCATAACATTAATCAAAGTTGAAACGGGATCAAAACCCCTTTCCAAACACCAGCGATGCCAAACTCGCCAGGCTGAGAGGTAAGAGCGTCTAGTCCCGGGGGCCCATGAGTCCCATAAGAGTGCTCTAGCCGACTCCGAAAGTCCTGTGGCATCCCAGGATCCCCTGAAACAGTCCAGGCAACTAGCTGGAGATGACCCTGCAACGCCAGAGGGTGAAAATTGCCTGCGGGATCTTTGAGAAGATCGTGTGTGACAGGTAGCAGTAGTGGATAATTCACCGACATTTCTAAGAGATTGGGGAACCATGGTTGGGTACGCCACAAAGGGGTCAGCAGTGTTATTGTGGCCCCCTGAGTCCTGAGATGATGGAGAGTGCGAAGGATCATGGAGAACGGGGGAAAGGCATAAGCTCCGGTCATTGGCCAAGCTTGAAGGAAGGCGTCTACTGCCAGAGACGTCGGATCCGGCAACCAACTGAAAAATGCGTCCGTCTGTCGATTCAGACGAGACGCAAACAGGTCGAGGCTGAAAGGACCCCGAAGAAGATGGAGACGGTAAAAAACGTGTGGATCTAATTGCCAGTCGCTGGAGTCTCTCCAGTGTCGAGAGAACCAATCTGCGACTAAGTTGTCGGAACCTGGCAGATACTCCGCTCGAAGGGAGATGTTCCTGTCTAGGCAAAATTGATACAGTTCTTTTGTGAGGTCTGAGAGCATTTTGGAACGGGATCCCCCTAAACGATTCACGTATTGAACAGCTGAGATGTTGTCCATTCTCAGTACTAGGGAACAATTGTAGGAGTCCTTCGCAAAACTGCGAATGGCAAAGGACCCGGCAATCAACTCGAGGCAATTGATGTGCAATGCCCGTTCTGATGGGGACCAAGGACCTCCAGTAGAGAGATTTGCGCATGATGCACCCCAGCCCAGAAGACTGGCATCCGATTCTAGGATGTAATCTGGCTGTGATCCGAAGATCGCTTTCCCATTCCATGCATCCATATGGTGTAGCCACCAGTTCAATTCGAGTCGGACTTCGTCTGTCAAGGAGATCAGTTGATCGTAAGACGCAGAGTGACGTAAGGAGCGAGTCTTCAGACGTTGCATTGCTCGGTAATGTAAAGGAGCTGGGAAGATTGCCTGAATTGAGGCGGAGAGCAGTCCGATTATGCGAGCTAAGTCGCGAAGACGGATAGCCGAAGAGGCTAGAATTTTCCTGATGTCTTTTTTGATGTTCTTGACCTTTACTGAAGGGAGTTGTAAGATCGCCAAAATGGAATCTATTTGGAATCCCAGGAATTGAACCACTTGAGTTGGGGTGAGGACGGATTTCTGGACATTGATCACGAATCCCAGGTTTTGTAACAGAGCTGTGGTCATATCCGTATAGAGGCGCAGAGTGTCTGGGTCTCGAGCCATAAGGAGGATATCGTCCAGATATATGATGGAGCGAATCCCTTGAGAGCGTAGTAAAGCCATGACCGGCTTCATCAGCTTGGTGAAACACCAAGGTGCGGAACAAAGTCCGAAGGGGAGGCATGTGAACTGCCATAAATCGTGATGCCAACGGAACTGTAGGAAACAGCGATGGGCCGGTGTTATAGGAACCGTGAGGTAAGCATCTGTCAAGTCTAAACGGGAGAACCAGTCTCCCTCGCAGAGTAGGTCTTGAAGGAGGTGGATACCCTCCATCTTGAAATGTTGGTAAACAATAAAATTGTTCAGTTCTTTCAGGTTGATAACTGGTCGAAAGTCCCCTGACTGTTTTCGGACCAGAAATATGTTGCTTATGAATCTGTGAGGAGACCGAGAACGTTCTATAGCGCCCTTGGCGACAAGATCGGCAGCGCGGCCTCTAAGGTCGCATTGTCCTCTTGAGACATGTGCAGAGGTGGAGGAGGAGACTCCTGTATAGGGTCGTTTGCAAAATCTATATGGAAACCAGATACAGTTTGAAGGATCCATGGATCCTGAGTTAAAAGTGACCACTGTGGGAAAAAAAGGGTTAACCGACCTGCAATAGGAACTTGAGAATAAGGAAAGTCTATTACCTGAAGCAGTGCGGCCCCGGAGGGAAGCATATCCACGTCCTCTGATGGAACGTCTAGAGGGAAAGAACTGCTTGTGGTAGAAACGGGTATTGCCCGAATTCCATGAGTCTGCTGGTTGAGGCCTGTAGCCCGTGAAGGCAGCTCTGCCAGTCGTTCGGCCTCTATAGCGACCAGCTCTACCGGAAAAACGCTGGGGTCTGAACACCCTGCGAAGGTTCCATTGTGCCTTGTTAAGGGAAGTAAACACGGATACGTGTTTATTCAGGTCTCGTATGAATCTGTCCCCAAATAATAAACCGTTAGCCTCTGGACCAAGTTCTTTGGTGCCTAGTTCTGCCAATTTGGCATCAATTTTATATAATACGGCTTTACGCCGTTCAACGGACATTGCCACATTGGCGTTGCCTAACAGGCATAACGCCCTTTGTGCCCATTCACGAACCATGTGCGCGTCAAAATTGCCTCCTGCCAGTGTCTCATCAGCAATTATGAAAATCTGGATAAGCGGGCCCGCTATATCCATCAGCTTGTCCTGGGTGGCTTTTAAGCCAACTTCGGTTCCCTTGCGGGGATCTTTACCCGTCTTAGTTAGAAAAGTGACCAGGAGTGGATCAAGCTCAGGGGTGACAGCCACTTTATCAGGGATTATAGGCCGTGGACACTCTGCTCTTAATTTGGCCCTAATCTCCTTTTCTAAAGGTTTGCGAAGCCATAATCTGCAATACTTTGCAATGTGATCAGGAGGTGTCCACTCCGCTGAACGAGGGTGTCTGATACAGCGTGGATCAAAAAGTGGACGCCCTTTGGTATCCAGTAGGATATCATCTTTATTAGAATCTAAATTAGAATTGGGCATGGGATCAGCGTCCTGAAAGGACTGATCTTGGGGTAGGAGGAAGGTTTCCGTAACAAATTCAGAAGAGGAAGGATCACGTGGAGGATCCTCATCTGAATAAGCATCGTAATCGTCCATCACTCGAAGGTGATAGTCAGAGGTTGAGCCCTTTAAGGGGTCAGCTTCTGTAGCCAAAGTAGGTTTGGTCTTAGACAATTTAGCCGTCTTCGCTGGGGCTTTGCCTTTGCCAGCAGAAGCACTGTCACCCTTCCATGGGCGCTTACGTGGGGCTTCGTCATGATCAGAGACTCTAGAATCATCAGAGTCAGATAATGGTGAGATGGTGGCAGTAGTGGCTGTCTGATCACGAAACGCTGCTAGAGCCTTGGGAATAGAGTCTGCAATTGCAGCTTGAAGCCAGGCTTTTAGTTCTGCAGACATTGCAGGTTCTGTTTGATCAGACATGGTGACCAGTAAAAAATAATAGTGGGTTCACCACAGAAAATAGTATTCAAACAGGTATATTAACTACCTCTATATATTCTTATTTATCTTTTTTTTTGTTTTGTTTTGTTTTTTTTATTTATTTTTTTTTTATTTATTTTTTTAAAATTTTTATATATATATATATTTGTATTGTAATATTATGTTAATAATCAAGGCAACGTAAACTGGCAGGGGCTTTCTTCTGGGGTTCACCCAGACAAAGTATTCAATCACTTTTTAAAGGAAACTCAGTGGGGTTCACCCACAATAATGGCAGTTAAAAACTGTCAGTATAATAGTGACAGGTGGTACCTGTCAAAATCAAACACATGGGGTTCACCCTATATTTAATATATATAATATGCTCAAAGATAAGGCAAGAGGGGGTCACCCTCATGAAAGAGGCAAGAGGGGGTCACCCTCTAATAGGCACAGAGCTGTAAGAAAGGAAAAAGGCAGCTGCAATAAAACAAAATAAACAGTAATAAGTGACTGGTTCTTTAAACAAAAAAACTGTAATAAAAGAAAGAGCCTCCAGAGGGCAATATACTTACATTTGACAGAGCTGCAAACAGCCGATCGGAGCTGAAGCAAAAAGCCGCGAAAAAACGGAACAGACCGAACGGAAGATGGCCGCCGGCAAGAAGAAGGCGGGAAAACTGCGCGCCTAACAATGACGCGGCTAAAAAAGGGCGGCACAGAAAAGATTGCGGGCGTGAGTAAAAAATGGGCCGCGGCCACAGCAGTGGCGCGGCCCGACAGACCCAAGCACGGAGCAACGATCAGTGAGGCACAAAAGCCCTCCCCCCAAAAAAAAATAATTAACAGGGATTAAAGAAAAACGGCAAAACAGGGAAAGACTAGGCTGACAAGGGAAAAAACAGGCAGCAATAAAGGGCTAGACAGCACAAAAATATAACCTCATGTAGATAATTAGAGGGATAAATCAATTAAAGGAGCCAAAATATTAAATGAACAAATGTTAAATAATGTATGTATACTATAAACAAAATATACATATAGAGAGCTATAATTGGAATAGACTCACCTGGGAGGCAAGCAGCAAAGAAAGAGGATTTGGGAGGAGCCTGAAAGACTGTTATGTTCTAATATGTGTCCTGATTGGTTGATTTTTTTTCTCACTTATGTTAACTGTTTCTTTGCTGCTGGGAGGTTCAGTAAAGAAGGTAAAGCAAATATGAAGCCTCCTGTCTTGCCATAAAATTAGCTAATGATACCATATTCCTTATATATTGAGTGCTTAGTCTGTTAATTATGAAAACTCTTGGAATGTACTGAATTAGATTGTATCTGCCATATTAATCAATCACAATAAAGTTTTCTTAGTTAATATTTACTGATATAGTTTAACAGAATATAAAGATTATATAAAAAAGAGAATAGAGCAAATGAGTAGGACAACGTTATTGGGATTAATTCATATTACATATTTCCTTAGATTGTGTGTGCTTGGCTAGTTAAGAATGTGTGTTTCTAATTAAGTGGCTCTGAATGTATGCCTTTATGTAAATGAGTGTGGCTAGTTATATATTTGTATAGCTTGTTGGATGCGTGTGGATGCACATTAATATATACACATGAGTATGCAATACCAATCAGGTAATTGTGAACACACGAACACACACACACACACCATCCTCCCCGTAGAAAAACTTTTAAAACAAAAAAAAGAAAACTATTAAAATATCAAAATATCAAATAATATATTGTATATAAAAAAATCTATATATAAATTTTTTTTTTAAATCTTAAAATATTTTTCAAAATATTAAATAATTTAAAGTTTATGTAAAAATATCAAATAATTTGAAAACCTTATCTAAAAAACATTAAATCGAGGCCTATATTAGCAGCAGCAGAGTTTCTGAGCTGTAGGTATACATAGCTGTCCAACGTCTTTATCAAATTATTCAAAAACAGTGTGACACAAACTGCAGATGCTGGCACCCACAGACTTGTTTTTATCCCTTCACTGCTACAATGTACTGTAGTGGTTAGAGTTAAATTTTGAAACCCATATAGTATTCAAAATAAATCAAATGTAGGTTTGCCCATATCTACTTAAGTCTACATATATAAAATAATCATATAGGATAAAGGTAAAAAAAAATCAAAACTTTCCTCCATAAGGTAATGTCAATATTTGACAAGAAAAACTGAGAAATATTGTGCAAATAAAATAGGAAGGGAGATTGTGTACGTGGGGTGGAAAAACGATCTCACAAGATCTCACAAGTACATATCCCTTAAAGCAACATATGATGCACCATAATTATGCAATTGTCTTCATTAACGTTATGCTTCTACATCCTGCCGCTATATGCACATCCCCCTTTGATGTCAGGGGAGATACAGCTAGCTTCATGTTAACCTCTGCAACATCTTTTACAACGTGCAACTGCAAACACTATACAAGGCCTGAGTGACTTGCACAGATACTCACATTGTTTGCCGTGAGGCACAATGGCTGTGCACATAAACAAACAATGTAATGAAAAGGTTTCTTGGTAAGTTAATAGCTAGAATAAATGCATTTTAATAGAATATATAACATGCATAGGTTAACCCTTTCTGCTACTTTACCGGCTGTAGTGTCTCATATGTACCAAGTGTCCCTGTTTAAGAGGGACAGTGCCTATTTCCTCGGCCCCTCTTTTCGACCCTAATAATGTCCTTCTTTTCTAGGAGCTCCATGTTGTTGGTGTGTCTGAATGTATAACGGAGCTCCACAGCAATAAAACTCACAGTATTGTATCTTTGAACTTCAATACATGTGTTTAGAACTCCATCTGTGTAAATAAGGTAATTTCTTAAAAACGGAAGGTACCTAAATTCATATTCTTGAAGTATAGTGTGCCTTTAAGTTGTCATGGTGCTTGGAGAATATTTTATGAAGTTCTCATACTTGACTATTGAAAATCTCTTGGCTGATCTCAAACATGAAGTGCATTAAAGACAATTTAAAAATATTTGTAAACTACAAGTACCCAGTAAAGGCAAGTTGGGAACAATTTCCTGAATAAAGAATAGAAAGACTGTTATGACCGACTGACAGGGTGTTCAGACTTTAGCACGTTTTATTTACTGTTTAATAAAAAATCAGTCAAACTTAACACAAAAGTAGTAATTATGTAGAAATAAGTAAAGTCTATTTTTTTTTTACTGAAGGGACACTTAGAAAAGGAGTGCCCAAGTGTTTGCATACAATAGTACAATAAAAGTCCATGTTAAAGACTTTCCATGTTAAAGACTTTCCATGTTAAAGATATATTTGTCTTTGAATATATTTTCAAACCCTTTTGGTACCATGGACGAAAACCGTGTGTGGCAATGATTATGTGTAGTTAGATTTACACATGCATAATTATTAATGTTGGGTAGTTGCCAGGGGCAAGGTTAGAAAAGGATTAGACCAGCTTTGAGTTGACAAGGAAAGTTAAACTGGAAAAAAGTTTAGATAATTAGGGATATAGAATAAGCACAGGGTATTTGACTAATGGTTACCTGTGATGTTTCTTTTGATATGTACATGGCAACATTTGCACACATGCTACACCAAGCTAATTCATAAAATTGGAATGTGATTTTAAAAAGCCTGCTAGACCAGTTTTTTTAATTTATTTTTAACCTTGTGAGTATTTACATAAATCTATTTATGTGTTGACGTCTGCTTAAATGCAAGTATTTAAAAAAAACAAAAGTCAGCTAGATCCCACCTCAATCTGCCTCCTTAAAATGGATGCGAGAATCCTTCCAGTCCCATGTACAATTACCAGCACTACTTGAGAAAGAGATGCATGAGGTCAAAATGTTGCCACTGGTGAGGACACAATGAACTTCCTGGAAGTCTGTTAAGATGGCATACATATATTTGACAGATTGATATATTCATTCAAATCTATTTTCAGTTTATTTTGTGTATAATTACTCCACAAATGTATCGGGCTTTATACATGGATCCATCTAATTTAACAATGTGGAGATAATTCTCCATTTGTAGCCACTATATGTGTGCATTAAATCACAAATCGTAATAACGAAGGACAACTTAACTTGGCATTGTTAGTATTTAGTATCCTTTAGTAAACATTACTAGTAAATTTTCTTACAATAAAAACAGAGAAAAGGGCTAGCACTAACAGTCAAAACATTAAAGTGGAATAAGTCCGCAAATAACCAAAACCATGGGAATCCTTCTATTACCCTCTCATCAAAGAAATCTTAACTGCACCAAAAATTAAATCTCAAAAATATGAAAAAGGATTAAAAAAATTATACAAGGCATAAAGTTACCACTTCAAAACAAGAAATTAAATTAGTCTTGTCCTTTTTCTTCCAATAGGTCTCTTAATTTGTTGTGACCCTTAATATGAAATGATAAAAATATTAACAACAAAAGGGAGGCCTACAGTGTAGTATCTCTCAAATAAGTTAACCATAATGAGGTATATAAAGCAAAATTAATAGAGGTACAAATGAGCTCAAATTGGACAGCATATGGTGATATGATTCCCACTTGTGGATATGGAGTCAATGGAAGTCCTTAAAGACAGGAGACAGATGAGGCAACGAGAAAACACACACTAAACTTTATAGTGTAGTATCCAAGGATATCAATAGTAAGGAAGAGACTAAAATGGGCATCCAAACAGATAGAGCTTCCTAAAAATGCAAATGATACCGTTTAGAGTGATATAATCCCTCCTCCAGAACATGTACTTGGTGGGTATCCTCAGAGGTAGTGGATGTACATAGCACCTCAAAGAATATACACATAGCACTCTCTGTTAGGTAGGAAACAGTGATAGAAATAATAAAAGTATCCGATTTACAATATTCAGAGCAGTGTTCTGCTCAGAACTGCAAGCAAAGGTGGTGGTATCCCCACCAAGGATGTGATGGAGACCATGTTATCCACCAGTAAATTTCAATACACAACCAGGAACAGGTACTATCCA